ACTCCCTGTTTGAGCTCCTGCTTACATTCTATATATTATTCAAGGACTTTGACTGTTTTTAGTTGCCTCGACCTTGAGTATGTGTTGCTTTTTGACTGAGCTGATAATTTCCCATCATCCAAGGTTCCTGAATCCTGCCATTCCAGTCCTTCATTTTTACGCGAACATTTGTCCTGCACACTAATCAACTGGACTTTAAGACTCCCACCTATCAGATGTGGATTTACCCTCAAACAGCCACTCCCAATTTACATTCTTACCTAATTTGGTTATAGTTGACCTTTCCCCAATTTTAACAGCTTCATCCAAAGTCCACTGTCCTTATCCGTAAGTATCCAAAAACCTGTGGAATTATGGTCACTATTCCCAGAAACTTTGATCACCCGGCTGGGCTCATTTCCCAATGTCAGGTCAAGTATGGCCTCCTCGCTTGCTGTATTATCCATATACAGCCTTGAAAAACCCTCTTGATCACCTAACAAATTGCTTTCCATCCAAATCCCCAGCACTAAAGAAGGCCCAGTCAATTTGGGGAAAGTTAAAATCACCCACTACAACAACAGTATTGTTTTCACATCTTTCAAGAATCTGATTACCTTTACCTATCTCTATCTCCTGCAGTACAATCCCAGCAATGTGATTGCACCCTTCCTATTCTTGAGCTCTACCCATAATGCCTCACTGCAAGACCCCTCAACACAGCTATAATATGCTCCATAGCCAGTAATGCAACTGTCCACCAGAATATTTGAGATTACTACCTTTTGTGGTTCTGCCTTCTAATTTAATGCAGGGTTGCTTGTAATCCCTCAGCAAAAACTTTTTCCCCTAATCTTTAAATGTCACTGGTACCTGCGTGGATCCAATCACTGGATCTTCCCCTCCCATTTCCTAAGTTCCTGTTCACCCTAGATAAGATGGTCTGAGTGTTGGCTTCAAGTTGGCATTGCAGCTTTTGGGCATCTGTCTTTTCTGCAAAGTACAGTATCAGTGACCTGAACTATGCTTAAACTCCTATTGCTAGTTTTTCTTCTCCTGTACCACCGCCAACCCCAACTTTGTATCACAGTCTCATTCTCATTCACATAGGGACAGAGTTCTTGCTCTGTGGGATAGGGGCACCAGCTAAGGTTTCTCAGGAGTTAAATTCCAGATCCTAATAGCTGCATCACTTGTAATTACTCAGAGATAGCAGGAACTGCCGATGGTGGAGTTTGAGATAACAAGGTGTAGAGCTGGATGAACACAGAAGATGCTGCCTAGCCTGCTGTGTGCATCCAGCTCTATACCTTGTTATCACTTGTAATTGCATTCTGTTATTCCTGAAAGTGTCTAGCTAATGCTTCACCCTCACCCCTCCTAGTGCTCACAGCTTGGACACTAACTCATCATGCACCAGTTCCCACAGAATACAATTACCAGTTATCTCTCTTCATTTAGTTACTTAATTTGGATGTTAAGTGTTTGACTTAGTTTACTAATAAACCTGTTCAGAGATGGTTATTACATACCTCTGGAGCAGATGGGATACTGGTAGGAACACTAAAAACTGCACCACAAGCCAGTGTTAAGTGTTTGAAGCAAGTTTCCTAACTACTCTTCAGCTGTAATAAATCTCCTGGTTTAAACGACTTTGCCAATTGGCAACAGACACCAATTACGTGTGTTTTTGTGTGAAGTAACACCTTGCTTCTGGAAGGCAATAGGTTGAAAGGGCTCTCTGCTAGTTTTTATCACCTGCCACTGCTGCCCTTCTTTTGCAGTTTGCTCCTTTTAGTATGCAGCAAGTCAGCATCACTCCTTTCAGTGTGAGGATAGCAGATTTCCTTCTGCAAAGTTTTTGCATGATTGCCATTAGACTAATTTGTGCTGAATTCCAGTTTCACCATCTACAATGTTTAGATTAGAACCTACGTCTGCAGAACATTAGTCCGAGGTTCTGGATTACTAGTTCAGTGACATTACCACTATGTCGCCACCTCTAAGCGTTTTGTCATAGTCATCGAGGTGTACAGCATGGAAACAGACCTTTTGGTCCAACTCGTTCATGCTGACCAGATATCCTAAATAAATTTAGCCCTGTTTGCCAGCACTTGGCCCATATCCCTCTATATCCTTCCTATTCATGTACCCATCCAGAAGCCTTTTAAATGTTGTAACTGTCCCAGCCTCCACCACTTCCTCTGCCAACTCGTTCCATACATGCGTCACCCTCTGTATGGAAAAAGTATTCATCCTATCCATGCCCCTCATGATCTTATAAAGCTGTATAAGGTTACTCCCCTGCCTCCAACAGTCCAGGGAAAATAGACCCAGTCTATTCAGCCTCTCTCTATAGCTCAAACCCTCCAGCCCTGGCAACATCTTTGTAAATCTTTTCTGAACCCTTTCAAGTTCTTTAGTCTCTGCTTTTCTCTTGTGATTTGTGATCCATGAAGTATTTAGATACCTCATTGAAACATTAATAGTATTGATAAATTGAAAAGCAGTTCTGTTTTAAATGAATCAAAGCTGGTCATTGAAATAACAAATATAAATTAGTACAAAATTTGAGCTATTTTCAGGACTGGCTTTTGAAAAGTTCATGTTTTCATTGATCAGTAACTTATTCAAATAAAAATATCAGGGTTCTAATTAATGCTGATGTAAGCATTGGATTGAACTTTGGACCAAATGACCTTTGCTCACTCTTGTTTTCATGACCTAGAATGTACATGCTCGTCGATGTTGGACAAGAATGAAATGGTCAGCAGTCTTCAGACCATAAGACAGAAGTAGACATAAGTTCATAAAGAGAGAGATGTAGTAGTAGGCCACTTGGCCCGTCGATCCTGCTTTGCAATTCAATAAAATCTTGGCTGATCTACGTGGTCTCAGCTCCTCCCACCTGCAATATCCCTATAACCCTCAATCCCCCTACCATGCAAAAATCTATCCAACTGTGTCTTAAATATATTTAATGATGCTGCCTCTACTGCTTCCTTGGGCAGAGAATTCCATAGATTCACCACTCCCTGGGAAAAGCAGTTCCTCCTCCTCTCTATCCTAAACCTACTACCCCCAATCTTGAGGCCCCTAGTTCTAGTCTCTCCCACCAGTGGAAACAACTTGCCTGCCTCTATCTTATCTAGCTCTTTCTTTCACAACTTTATATGTTTCTATAAGATCCCCTCTCATTCTTCTAAATTCTAGTGAGCACAGTCCCAGGTGGCTCAACCTGTCCTCCTAAGGTAACCCCCTCATCTCCAGTATCAGCCTGGTGAACCTTCTCTGCACCACCTGCAAAGCCAGTATATCCTTCCTGGAGTACAGAGACCAGAATTGCGCATGATATTCTGGGTGTGGCCCCACCAGTGTCTTGTACAATTGCAGCAGAACTTGCCTGTTCTTAAAGTCAATCCCTCTAGCAATGAAAGCCAACATTCCGTTTGCCTTCCTGATTACCTGTTGCACCTGTAAACCAGCTTTTAGCGATTCATGTACAAGTATTCCTAAATGTCTCTGCACAACAACTTGCTGCAATCTTTTACCATTTAAAGAATAATCTGATCTACTACTTCTGAAGTTGATGACCTCACATTTTACCAACATTGTATTACATCTGTCAGACCCTTGCCCTATCTTAACCTATCTACATCTCTCTGCAGACTGTCCACATCCTCTGCACCATTTGCCTTTCCACTCAAATTAGTGCCATCAGCAAACTTAGATACGTTGTACTCAGTCTCCTCTTCCAAATATAAATCACGAACAGTTGCAGGCCCAGCACCAAACCCTGTGGCACTCCGCTCACCACCGATCTCCAACCTGAGAAACACCCATTTATCCCAACTCTCTGCCTTCAATTGGTTGACCAGTCCTCTATCCATGCTAATGCATGCCCCACGAGTCCATGTATTCTTATCTTAGGGATGAGTCTGGTATGCGGTACCTTAACAAATGCCTTCTGGAACTCCCGAGTACACAACATGCACCTGCTCCCCTCTATCCACCACAATTGTTATATCCATAAAACTCCAGTAAGTTAGTCAAACACGACCTGACCTTCCCTTCCTGAATCCATGCTGTGTCTGCCTGATGGAACCCTTCCCATCCAGATGTCTCGCTATTTCTTCCTTAATGATAGCCTGAAACATTTTGCCGACTGCGGATATTAAGCTAACTGGCCTGTAGTTACCTGCCTTTTGCCTACATCCATTTTTAAACATCAGTGTGACATTCACTGTCTTCCAGTCCGCTGGGACCTGCCCAGAGTCCAGCAAATTTTGGTAAATTACCACTAACGCATCTACTATAACTTTCGCCATTTCTTTCAGCACCCTGGGATGTATTCCATCAGGACTAGGGACTTATCTACCTTTAGACCCTCCAGTTTGCTCAGCACTACCCTTTTAGTGATAACAATTGAATTGAATTCCTCACCTCCCATCATATACTTAACATTATCCTTTTGGCATGTTAGACACATCTTCCATGTGAAGACTGACACAAAATAGTCATTCAAGGCCTTGGCCATTTCAGTGTTACCCAGTTTTAATTACCCCTCCTCATCCTCTAAGGGACCTACGTCCACTTTAGCCACCCTTTTCCATTTTATATATTTATAAAAACTTTTCCTATCTGTTTTTATATTCTGTGCTAGTTTGCATTTATAATCTATCTTTCCTTCTTTTTATTGCTTGCCTCACGGTTCTTTGCTTTTTGGAGTTTTCCCAATATTCTTGTTTCCCACTACTCTTGGTGATTTTGTAAGCCTGAGTCTGCTCTGCAATTTAGTGAGATCATGGCTGATCTCATGCTTATGAAAACCTGTCTAATGGCACATAATTGTTGTGTGGTGCTGAGTGTTCTTGGATGCTGTGGAACTAGAATTTTTTTAAAAAAATGAGAAGGTGGTCTAGATTCTGGTAGCAAGTAAATTTAAACAAGGCAGCAAAGTAATATTGGTTGGCCTATTGTGGATGGTAACTAAACACATGAAATTTCAAAATGTCTTCTAGGTGTGGAAAGCTAGACTGAATGGCTATGAAGAAGCTGCAAAATTGTTCCAGAAGATTCAAGATGAAAAAAGCCCCGAATGGTCCAAATACTTAGGATTAATCAAAAAATTTGTAACCGACTCCAATGCAGTAGCCCAGCTAAAAGGATTGGAAGCAGCACTTGTTTATATAGAAAATGCTCATGTAGCAGGACGGTAAGTTCTTAGAATGCCACAAGAATAGTTTTTTTTAGCCTACAAGCTGAGCATATAGAAATATTCTCACTCTAAATGAATGATTACAAATGTTTGATTTATATTTGTATGTATGATTTTTTTTTTTTTTTTTTGTTGCTTGAATTTCGGAACCTTTTACCACTTCAGTATGGAATTGCAGGATTAAATAAAAACCTAAAAACTAGGAGCAGGTATAGGTTAGCCAATCCTTTGAACCTGCTATGTCATTAGATATTATTTGGCTGATCCTCCAAATATGATTTTCTTGCTTTTTGTATTCCTTGATGCCTTTTAAAATCTATAAATCAATCTACCTGTTTCTAGTATATATTCAGTGTCTTGTTCATCAGAGCCTTCTGTGGTAGAGAATTCGACAGATTCACTGCACTTGATGTTTCCTATCTAAGTCGCCAGTGGTCTACCTGAGACAGTCCAAATATACCATTTCCTTTCCTAATTGCTTGTTGCACCTGCCTGTCAACTTTCATTGACTGACTGGAACGTGGGTCACCCAGATCATTTCTCACACCAATATATCAGCATTTAAATGATACTCCTTTCTGTTATTCATGCTGAAGTACATAACCGTCACTTTAGCCATGTTGTACTGCATTTGTATTTGCCATTGTTTGCCCATTTACTCCACTTGTCTCAATCACTTTGCAGCTTCCTTGCAGTCTCCTCACAAGTTTCAGTCCAGTCCTATTTTGTGTAGGCAGTAAACTTGGAAATTTTGCATTTGGTTCCCATATCCAGGTCCTGCCACATGGAATCAGCCCATTTATTCTTGCTCTGTTTCCTGTCTACCAGTTCTTACTCTGTCACTATAAACCTGCTAACCCATATGTTTTAATTTTTCCCACTACCCTCTTCAGAAGAGTCTTCTGAAAATGCAAGTACACCACATCCAGTAGTTAAGCATAACTTTCCTTTCGTAATCCCATGATGGCTTCATCCAATCACAGTAATGCTTTCCAAGACCTTTGTTATCACCAACTTTGTAATCGACTCTAGTGTTTTCCCTATTGTTGATGTTAGGATAACTGGTCTGTAATTCTCTTTTCTTTTTTCTTTCCCTCCTTTTTGTAAAATTGTGGGAGACATTTACCACCTTCCAGTCTGTAGGACCTGCTTCCAAGTTTGTAGAATTTTGGAAGATGACCACTAACACATCCAATATTTCCAGGGCTACTTCCTTTAGTACTCAGATGTAGATTAAGTGTTGGTGATTTTTGGCAGATAACCAAATATTGGTTATAAATATTGTAGTTAAAGAAATATGTAACTGCTGTATCAGCATACTTGCATGGTTCAAGAGTTGAATGCATATTAAAGGAAGCGATCTCAGTTTTAAAATGGTTACTTCCTACCACAGTCGTGTATGTGGTAAGTATTCATTCCATCTGTTTGTCTTTCTGAATGATTGCATAACAAGCCTTTGCTCAATTATTGTCTATCAATGTCTTTTACAGTGGTAAAATATCTTTTTTTAATATTGATTTAGCATGGTAAGTTAGTCGTCCCTAACAGTTTAGTTGTGTCTCTTGACTTGTTTTTGTTTTCTGCAGAATAAGCATTTATTTTAAGCAGAAAAAAATCAACCTTTTGCTCATGAGATAGTAGGAACTGCAGATGCTGGAGAATCTGAGATAACAAGGTGTAAAGCTGGATGAACACAGCAGGCCGAGCAGGAAGGTTGACGTTTCGGGCCTAGACCCTTCTTCAGAAATGG